ATCATTTCATATTAATACTTGTTTACACTCAGCTTTAAAAGACTATATGTGAAAATATCAGACAAAAACAAACCAACATATAATACTAAATTTTTAACACAAAAAACAAACCTATGAAAATACGAGTATTCAAGTCAAATATAATAGGATTATAACATGGTATGGTGTCTGGCATTTTAAAAAATATTAAGACTAAGTCAGATTTATTGCTATAGCCTATCAACAATCAAAAATATAAAATATACTACAACCACCAAGCCAAGTATGATGCAGTATAAGAATATTAATGTAACACAGGTACACATTTATTTTATAATATATTCACTGATATAGTAAAACTTTATTCAGAATAGTTTGAATTGATAAAAGTCTAAAAGTGAATATTTAAAAAGATATGCAGTTTAAGCACTCACAAGCTTTTTTTTCTTTCAAGCACATAATTTCAAATATACAAATTTGCACTGGCCAAGTAGTACCTATTACAATAATTTTGGGTACTTGTTTTCATGACAAAACAAGAATGCTTTTAAAGTAGTGTTTTTAAATAAATGACTCTAAAATCTAAAAAAATTAAAAACTTTGCAAAATTAAATTTTTCTCTAAAGTCTTAACTATTACTTTTATTAACAAATCCTTTCATCAGATAGTACATAGTAAAAAGCATTCAAGTCCTTGTATCATGATTACAAACTCTAAGTAACAGTTTGATGGTATCTTAGTCACTTCTTAATAAATGAAGATTAATATTACTATTTGCTTATGACAGAGTGAATGATATTGTTTGGTTGAGAGATACCTACTTAAATTCAAAGTCTGCTGTACAGTATTAGTAGTATGGGTTTTCAAAAATCCTAACACACACTGTCAGTTAAGGTAACTCTTTAGTGAAGTATACAGTACCTGTGAATAGATCAAATTTTAAATAAGTATTTACTATGAGTGTCATGAATTGCTAACACCAAATTTTATTCCTTTCTCACATTTCAAAAACATCAGACCATCTACTAATCCATACATATTGGTGTTTCACATACTTCATAGAGTAGCTTAAAACATATCAGCATAAGAAATAATTAGTATTACATAGTAATTTCCTTTGTCATAGGAATAATGTTGGACAAAGTCTGGAAACATTTTATTTTCCAATTTGAATTACAGTAATTTTGCCACAGACCACAGCACTAGTGCATGTATTACTTTAGACATGCTCTAAGAACAAAACAAAAAATTACTGCAAAAATACATGTCACCAATGTGGAACACACTCAGATTTGTATAAAAGTACTGAACTAATATCCCAAAAAGAGGTATATGTAAACAGTACATAAGGAAGAAATAGTTTTAATATGAAACAATCGTTTAAGTCACATACATCATGGTAAGAAGCAGGACTTTCTTTTATAAAAGATAACATCTTAACAAGCAACATCATCTACACATCTACAGAACAAGAAAAGTACAGGTACTGCAAGTAAGTTTTAATATAGTTCCATTGATAAAATGTGACAAAGATGAAGCTTCTCCACTGGGTCTCATTAAGTTTTTGATTTAGCACAGGGGGTGGCCACTTTTTGCCCTCCCCTCCTCGCTTCAGAATGCGCCAAACCCCTATCACTGTACCACCAGAAGTCAGAAAATGTAGAGGTGACTTTTATAGTGATCTACAGGATAAATGGAAGAGCAAGGGAAAGCTACTAAAATCTGGAAATAAGAAGGAGATCTCTGAGTACAGGACTAGAAGACCGTGGCCCGTAAAAAAAACAAAACAAAACAAAACAAAAAACCAAAAAAACTCAAAACAATCTAAAGGAATTGAAGGACAGGACAGTGCCAGCTAATGTGCTAAAAATATCGCTTTGCATGGTGCATGAATTGTGGTCATGCTGTCTAAAGTGTCACATGTTAGAGATCCATTCTGAAGATCCTTTTTTTTTAAAAGAAAATTTATTGTCATTTTCTCTGCTACCTTCTTCATTCATACTTTAGCAGAAAAAAAGCTTTTATCTTAAAATCTAGCCAACTGACATCATACAAGAAACAGAATTTCTTTTCTTTTTTTGAGATAGGGTCTCACTATGTACCTCAGGCCAGCCTCGAACTCATGGAGATCCTCCGGCCTGAGCCTCCCAAGTGCTGAGATTACAGGTATGCACCACCACACCCAGCTCAGAATTTCTGATCAAAGGAAAGATGGAAAATTTTGAAGCACAGAGTTTCCAGGAGGGGAAAAGCCACGCCTGTTTATCCAGCATTTCACCAGAGTTTAGATGGTAATAGGGCAACTGGGGAATAATCCACATTAAGAATTTAACCTTCTTAATCACATCAGGAAAAATTTCTGCTTCTTTCTTTTACACTGACTGGTTCAATAAAGAAAATGAAGAACTGAGTATGATAACAACAGTTAACTACACTATGGTTGAAGTAAGATTTTATGGCTTCCCTAAGAATCTAATCATTTTATACGAAGTTCCAAGCAACTATTTACAAATGAACTTTGGGAGCCTGTATGCCTTTCAACTTTTTAAATTAAAACATCTAAAAGAGCACAAATATTCATGCATATGAGACCTCTATACACTGGAAAAAAGAAATCCAAAACACATTAGAACTTCCTTTTATAAAATCATTGTTGCCAAGGATATAGCTCAGCGGTGCAGCGCCTGCCTGGCAAGCACAAGGTGGTTAGTTCGATTCCCGGTACCCAGGCCCCCCCAAAAAATCATTGTTTAAAAAAAAAAATCATTGTTTATATTTTTTACTATTAAATACAATTAGTATGCTGATTAGTAAGTACTAGCGCTTTAATTTGTTCAAGACACAAGTTTGAAAGACAAGTTAAATGGAGACTCTTGTTACTTAATTTTATGTGGATGATTAAGGTCAGCATATTTCATAGTGACACACTGTATTTTATTTTCTACCACTAGGCTCAGTTGGCAGTCTTAAAAAAAAAATCCCAAAACAACCAAAAAAGCTCAACATGGATTTCTTTTATATTGTACTTATTTATAAAGCATAAGCACTACCACAAGAAAATCTTCAGTTTCATGTGTATAACCTCCTCATATGGATAAGAATCACACTAAAGGGGCTGGAGATTTAGCTCAGTGGCACAGTGCCTGCCTGGCAAGCGCAAGGTCGTGAGTTCAATTCCTGGTACCGGGGCGGGGGGGGAGGAACAACAACAAAAAAAGAATCATACTAAAAAAAAAAAAGACTAGCAGTACTATAAAGCATTTCACTCAAATGGAGAACACTGATCACAAATCTAAGTACTCTGCCCAAGAACAGTTTCCTTTATAAGCTAAGCTCTCTCAGTATTGGTGTGTCCAATAACATCTAGGAGCACGCGGACCAGGAATCCTTTAGTGAATGAGCAAATTCAGCAGGTAAACCTAGATGCTAATAGACTGAACTGCAGCAAAACTTGAGAAGGTAGGAGAAACTCAGATTTCCTACTCCATTGTGTCTTTGTATGTAAGTGTGCATGAGATTGAGGCCTTTGAGTGAAGGAAAAGGATTTGAGCCCAAAAATGTATAACCCTACATGTATTTCTTTCCACCACTGCATTTCACTAAAGTGAGGGCTGCTCACTGCTTCTCCTAAGAATGCCCTATCAATTTGCATACCAATCTTCTTTGGGTGAAATAGAACCAATTTTCTGGCCATTCCCATAGTTCACCACTTTTCCTACCCAAGTGTCTATGTAACTTTGGACAAGTGTGGAAGTAGTGGGAAAGTTAATTGTAACACATGAAAACATTCATTAGGTATGATTATAGTTTGGCTGAGACTCATGTGAGAATCAGCCATGGTTTTTCTTTAGAATATTTACAGATTCTTATTTACGTGAGGTGACTTGAAAAACAAAACACTTGAATAAACAGTCACTGGTCTGTGTGTTTTAAGAAAATAACTGCTTGAGAGTAGAAAATTAAAGAATCACTTTATGCATCAAATATCTTCACACTGTCTTGAGAGGCCATTGCATTTGCTTATAAAACAGCTAACTACTGAAACTATAAGCAATAAAGGATTTCATAAACTGCGTAAAATCAGTTTTAACAATGAGCACAACTCTGTGCTGCCAGTACGTGTGGACTCCTGAGAGCACCGGAGGGTCATCTCAGAACACCCTCCTCTGCGGTCTGGGGTGGAGCTCAGAGCAGGGTACCTGCTGAGCACTCCGGGGCCACAGGCTCAATCCCTGCACCACGCAGAACAAAACTGAGTTCCGTGTGGAGTCTTGACAAGTCATGATCTGACACTAGGAATAGGTTTACAGCATCCAGTGCATCATTTCTTAAAAATCAACACTCAACAGAATTTAAAAAAAGAAACCAAAACTAGGTAGGTCCTTACTTTATTTTGGTATGGGGAATTGAACTCAGGACCTTGTGCTTGCCAGGCAGGTGCTGTGCCGCTGAGCTATATCCCTGGCCCAGTCCTTACTTTTACAAAATTATTTATCTCTAGCAAAAATTACAATGTAAGCACAATAGGATCTTCAAGTATGTTCTGAAGACCATCAATGCCAGTGTCAGTCCAAAATACTACATCGTAATCTGCTTCAACTGGAAACACTTTCACACAAAGGAATAACTAGTGTTGGAGTTTGTATCATTTCATTTCCTAAAATAATGATGATATACAGTATATTATACAACTGCAGAAAGTGTCTTTGTACTCAGCTTTAGTCACGTATAAATGGAAAAAACCTTGTATTATCTTGTACCATATGAAATTGCTGTTTTTCAAGTACAAATTAAAACACTGTATTTAAAAAATAAGTTTTATTCAATCAAAATATGTATCAGCATTTAAAAAGATATTAATATTTAATTCCATAAAATTATTTTGTTAGACTATATAAATTGTTCAAATCCTCCAGTTGCTGCTTCTCAATTGGGAAGTGTTTTTTTGTGTTTTTTTTTTTGTTTAGACAGGGCCTCACTATATAGTTAAGCAGCTGGCCTTGACCTCCCTATGTACTGTAGGCTGGCCGTGAACTTGTAGTGATCCTCCTGCCTCATCCTCCTGAGTGCTGGAATTACAGGTGTGTACCATCACACTCAGCTGTGTTGTTTCCAAGGATGAAAAAGATGGTAGTCCCTTGCTAAGGGTCCAGTGGCTATGATGGATATGACAGAATTTCACAGTCCAGGTTTGCTTGAGTGGCTTGCAATACATGAGGTGAAGTCCCATCTTGTTGAAGGGTTCACATTTGTTAACCAAAGGATGTTCATACATATGCACATGCTGCTGCTGTTACTGCTTCCCCTAGGTTTGCACTGTAGTTATTATTTCCTTAATAGTATCACCACAGCCTTCAGAACTTGTGGTTCTTTTAGTTTAGTGGCTTTTTTTTTTTTTTTTTTTTTTTTTTAGTTTTTTTCCGCTACTGGGAATCGAACTCACAACCTCGCACTTGCCAGGCAGGCGCTGTGCCGCTGAGCTAAATCTCCAGCCCCAGAACTTGTGGTTCTAATGATTGCAGTGGTGCATTATTAGAGAGCTTCCTCAACATCCAAACATCGTGCGGCTTGCTGTCGACTCATACAGTCTCTTCCTTTGTGTTTATTTGGCCACAGGTTATGACCTGCTCTAGAAGTGAGGTTTTGCTGTTTTAAATCTCCAGCACACTCTGTCTGTGCTCTCTGATAGTGTACTCTCTGGTCCATTTTCAAACTTTCCCCAGTAACAGGAGAAATCCGGAAGCCTGCAGCAAGGTCTTGAAAGTTTGCGTTCACCCTGGCTATTAATTGGCCATTTGTTTAAAACGGGACTTTGATCTTCTCTGAAGTTCACTTCAGAAATTCAGATCTTAGACCAAGATCTTTCACACTACTACTGAGTAGTTCTTTTGCTAGCAGAGTCCTATAAGACTTTCCTCATTTGCAATATGTCCCAGTTATAAATCATATAAATGAAAGTGTTCACAATTCTTCTGAGGACACTACATTAGCTATTTCTCTGGAAAACAGTAACAACACAGTAAAGAAAAATTAAGAGTATAGTGCTATTATGATTCTACATAGTACAACTGGAAACATGCTTTATGTCAACTTTACTTACTGTAGTCAATTTTCACCCGATCTAATATTAGCAATTTCATATGGTACAATCTGTAAGTTAATAAGCAAGTACTTACTAAAGATCTACTCTACACTACGATCTGTCTCTGCCTCCTATCTGTGTAGATACCCTGGAAAGACTAACCTGCAAGTATGAAAGTCACTAATTTTAAAGACCCTCGTGGAAAAGCACATTATTATCTTTTAAAAATCCACTGATATGTGTGCTGTCCCCCGTGCTATAAGACACATATATTATGTTTGGAAAACATGTTAAATGCATCTTTGAAAGACTTTTTGAACTAAACATATAATGTGCTATGGCCAAAAGTCATTACTGAAATATACAATATCCAGTGATCCTAACTTTTAAAAGTTAACACTGGCCTGGAATTGTTCTATATTATTTTGAAGCTTCGAAAGGCTTTTGCTTAAGATAAATAACGACTGACATTTATTTATAAATGTTTCCGAAGCACGCCCACAGACACTGTTCTCGTGTACGACAGCCAACAGCGACAAAACCTGAATGGAGTGTCAATAAAAACTAAATGGTAAATGTGTTTGTGTTGTTTTAGAAAGTGCCGTGAAACACTGAAGTCCCGTCACCCAAGCTCTGTCGCCGGCGGAAGGGCGCCGCCTGACCCCACGCACGGCGCCACGTCACGGCGCCACGTCACGGCGCACGTCACG